AAAAAAAAAAAAAAAAAAAAAAAAAAAAAAAAAAAACAAGACTCGACACGCGGCAGAAATCGGCATCTGAAGAAAAAAGCTGATACGTACTGGTGGTCTAAAAAGAGCCATGAGAGCGTGGACGTCGTAGTGGCATCTTGCATTTTGACAGACATGTGATCTGTGTTTTTTGTGCATTGAACATATACTGTAAACGAAATTGAAACGGTATTCACGAGTTAGCAGTAGCTGCTGCAGATCCCAGGGTTCGATCCCTAGACCCCGACCTTACCTGTGTCGACCCGTAGAGTTGAACCCGCGACCTGTGTATTGTAATAGCTGATAGGTTGTCGTAGGGTCCATAGGTAGCATGGGTTCGATCTGTAGACCTGTCGGATAGGAGTCTTAGTCACGTCTAGACATCGTAGCTGTAGTGTTTTCGAAAGGTCAAGGTTGTAGCTGCTACAGTCCAGAAGGGTCAGAGTCGTAGCTGCTACAGTCACGAAAGGCCAAGTCTACGACCTTCCGGAAGGTCCCAGTAGTGGCCTTTCGTGAGTTGCTCACGTTTAAGCAGAGGCAAGTGGGCAAGTGGGGGAAGTCTACCCTGCTGAGTCAACAGTCCCAGTCCCCAGTCAGTCAAGCAAGTACTGCACGGGACTGTGTGCACTTCGGGCAAGGGAAATGGGCCAGACCAACGACCAGCAGAAGTATAAATCAAGAGGCAGCGCCCAGCCATTCATTCATTCCTGCGTGAGCCATGCGGAAGCGCTGCCACAGCGACTTGTGCAAGGAGGTCTGCAGTGAGCCCGGAGGGCGCAGTGGGCGAGAGAGGAGGAGTTAGCATAGCGATAGGGTAGAGGCAGCCATAGCTGCCATAGCTGTAGTTCGTGTGAAGTGTGTGTGTGTGTATGTGCAAGTGTCCAGAGTTACGCGTGTGGGATATCCAGGGTGATCCGGTGTGTGTGAACAGTGAGTTGATTGGGCGCTGAGTCGCCATAGCCAGTTGGAAGTGAACTCGTATCTGGAAGCCATATCTCTGAGTTTTGAGTGGGCGCATGTCGCCAGTTTGCTGCGTTGCTGTTTACATGCATGAAAAGTGTGAATGAGTACGAGTCTGATTGCAAAATGTAAAGCGCGGGGGGATACCCGATGTTCCAGACAAGCAAAGTGTGGTAGGTGCCTTCTGTGGGGCCAGGGGTTTGCAGCAGAGCCTCTGAATCTGCTGGGGTCTCTGCCTTGTCAGTGGAGGTGTGAACACGCACAGCCACTTGAAATGGATGGGGTCAAGTGGTCTGCATCACTTCTGCCCCCACTCACAGCCACCGAGGTGATTTGAGGAGTCGCAAAATTATGAGGTACTGACTCGCTACTTTTGCGAGGGGGGGGGGGGGGGAGTTCTGCTGTGTGTGCTCAAAGTTAGGGTTGCTTGTGATTTGCCCGACTTTGAACAATTTCAACAGCAATCATTCATCCAAACCGCATTGAAATCAAATCACGCTTGATAGAAAACTTGGCAAACTTGTATCTATTGGAGAATCACACCAACACAATTGATGGAAACGAGAAATTTATTTCCACCTGGGCTCCTGGCTGGATCGAGCAGCGTGTCTCAAGCATCCAGCAAAATGACACTTGAAATAGCACAGTATTGGGGCAGATCACACTGCCTGCATCACTTGTTGTCATTCAAAGCCTTGCAAATGGAAAAACTAATGTGAAACACTCGGTACTGACTCGCTACTTTTGCGAGGGGGGGGGGGGAGAAGTTATGCTGTGTGTGCACAAAGTTAGGGTTGCTGATGATTTGCCCGGCTTTGAACAATTTCAACATCAATCATTCCTCCAAACTGCATTGAAATCAAATCACGCTTGATAGAAAACTTGGCAAACTTGTATCTATTGGAGAATCACACCAACACAATTGATGGAAACGAGAAATTCATTTCCACCTGGGCTCCTGGCTGGATCGAGCAGCGTGTCTCAAACAGCCAGCAAAATGACACTTACGGGTTGTTAAGGCCCGTGGCTCAGGCTACCGGTAGCCCGGTCATTCCCGAGCCTCGGACTTTATTGTCGAGCCTCGGACAACCGGTAGGACAACGAAAAAAGAAAAAATAGAAACAAAACAAAACAAAACATACAACATTCTGCAAAAAAAACAAAACAAAACGAAACGAAATTAGACCTTTCCAACGAGAATGAATCTTCCTCGATAAAAAGAGAGAGAGAGAGAGAGAGAGAGAGAGAGAGAGAGAGAGAGAGAGAGAGAGAGAGACAGTGTCTGAGGCCGAGTTTGGTGCACCAAACTCGGCCTCAGACACTGGCTCTCTCTCTCTCTCTCTCTCTCTCTCTCTCTCTCTCTCTCTCTCTCTCTCTCTCTCTCTCTCTCTGTTCTTCCCCCCCTTCCCCCACCCTGCTGCACCTGTTTCTTTTAGGTTGTTACTTTTCATTTTCGTCGTCGTTTTTTTTTTGGGGGGGCGGCGTTTTTTGCGGACTACCGGTCGAACGTCGGTGGGTACCCCACGCGACGCGGTACGTTAACGGCCGTGTCGAATTCTTCAAGCAGGGAGAGGTACTGGTGGTTTAAGGCAACGCTCTTGGGATATGAACTGACCCGCCCGAGGTAATTCAGACTTAATAGTATTTGACTCAACAGTTCAGGGCTGTCTCAACAGTTCAGGGCTGTACTTACCTGAGGTAGGCCAGTTGGTTCCAATGCCTCATTTTTGCAAGGACACCAGAGTGAAGATTGGAGAGTTATTGCAGCTGTATTGAGCACATTCCGCATTGCGCATGTTTCTCAAGGGAATCTCAAGCCTGCAGTTCAGCGACGGGCCTGTCACCTGCAGATTCCGGGCAACCTGCACATGACCCGCTGCAGAGGTTGCCTCTCAAGACTACAATTCATTGCGAAGCTCGTATCATTTTCTTGAGACCTGCCAATGACTGGTACGGGAGGTGTAGGCAGAGTTGTGGTCAGATTGTAATTTTGGCTAGGGTATGACGTATCCTGTCTCATGACAATCCACATTGTGATGACATTCTCTTTTCTTTATTTTGGAGTATTTCTCGATTATCATCCTTGTGCAGGGATACCAACAAAAGCCACAACTGCATTTGGTGAAGCGTAGCAGTTTGTTTTTCCACTGAGACAGCTAGTTTTTTTTTCATACAGAGAAGATTGGCGTGGCCTCTGCGCAGGGGTGACACACATAAATCGAGAAATGGTTCAAATTAAAATAAATAAATAAATAAATAAATAAATAAATTCATGCACTGCTGCTGACTGCTGCTGTCGCCTGTAGGGCAACCTGTCCAGCAGCCATTGGGTGTACATTGGCTACCTTTGGACTGAAGTGAGGGGATGGTTGTGTAAACAGCTTCTGACACCTTTTACACACTCTCAGACCCCCATTTGAGGCCACATTCACTTTTTTCAGAACAAGCCTAGATTTGATCTCCTTTTGACAAGTGCAAAGCACACTTGCTGTGCACCGGTGCTGTGCGGTGCGCTGTGTGTGATGTGTGGATCAGTGATGTGCGCGCACCGTGGACATAGGCGCCATGCGCTGAGCGCGACGCTACTCCCCTGCTGCACTGCCCTTTTTTTCTTTTTGGGTGTGCGTGTGTGTTGCCTCGAGAACGCAATGGAACCTTGTCATGACTGTGGAGGGACTGAAAGTTTAATTGTATACATCGGACAACACACTGTGCTGTCATAGACATCCAGGGGATGGATACAAGCTACCCTTTCAGGACCGATACAGTCATTATGTGTGTTTCCCAATGAGGACGAGATCGGTCGTCGGACATTCCTGTGAAATCGACTGTCCGAAATCAGTGAACAGTCAGAAGTTGCCGTTTTTAGGAGGTGCATGGGTCCTGGGGACCATCTTATGCAGATGTGTACATGTCATGCATCATCTTCCACACACAATGAACAGTAGTCTGACCATAGACAAAGGTAGAGAAGAAGAGGACCGAGTCTCACAGCTTATATTATCAGAAATATGATTACAAAGTGTTTCAAAGTTTCCCTGAGTCCAGCGCTCATCAGCGCAACACAAATCTCTGCTCAACTCATCAATATGCCTTCCAGTGAATCAGTGCTACCCCTGCAGATAGTCTCCAAATCAACAAT